TTAGATATATAAACATACATATACAAATGCGTTTAAGCATACATACTTGCCTACATGGAAGTCAGTGTTACCTGAGAAGAGCCTGTGCCCCTTAATACAGCATGATTGTGGCTATTTCCCATTTGGTAGAGCTCTGGCATGACTCTGAAGTGGTAGTATTGAGTTAGAAGCTAGGCCTTCATTGGAAGGCAGATTTCATGGACGTGAGTAGTTGTTACTCCAAAATACAAATACAGAGGTTTTCTGGCATTGGTTGTAAATCTTAATTTAGGCAAGTAGCTCAAGCTTTTAAAGTTGTGGTTAATTCTGATTATTTTCATTCAAAATATTCCTGTACTTCCATTTGAGAGGTCTGTTTTGTATATTGCTGTTGAACTGCACCATCTGTTTCTCAAAGGGCAGATCACTGGTAAGATTGTGAAGGGGCCAGACTGCTTTTGCTCAGGAATGACTTCACGTGGAAGTGAGCCCATTGCTCTTCCATAGATGAGATAGATAAAATTCTTCCTTTCAAACAAAAAATGCTGTTCTTTGTCTGTTTTCTATTTGTTCCTTTTCTTTTGTTAAGCTCCAGAGGACCAAAACCCGAAATTTCAGAAACTTGTAGAAAAAAATATTTTATCTTTGTTCTTTACCTGTGGTGGTTTATTTCAGTGTATTTTATATATAGTGTTGTAAAACACTGAATACTTCAATGCCCTTGGCACGCTTTGTGGTAAACACTACCTGGATATGGTTCATCTTGTGTATGACTGCTTCCCTCAAGACTTGGTCAGCATTCCCCTACCTTTGGAGAACCTACCCCTCCAAGATAGATAGACTGGGTAGAAGGGCTTCTATATGAACTTTCGTGTTTAAAAAGTGCACAGAGCAGATTATATGGAGGAGTTGTTGATTACGCTGCAAATAGAACGGTGCTTCCTGGAAGAGGGGCATTGTTCCTTTTGATTTTTTTTTTTTTTTTTTTTTTAAATGCTGTTAACAAACCCAAATAAAAATGTAAGTTGAAATAAAGCTGTTGTGTATCCTAATATTGGGAACCTGCAAATAAGCCTGACAGAGAACTTTCAGTATGCAGGATTTGTTGCATCCCTGAAAATGGCATCTGCTGCAATGTCCTTTGCAATCCAGTAGCCAGTTCTTATAGAGACATTCACGGATGTACAATCATCTATCTCTGTCCCCTTCTCCATAGTGCTGTGTCCAGCCACTTGAAGTTACATCAGTTCCTGATGGTGGTTGTTACCAGTTCAGTTGTCAAAGTCAAGGACTGCTCAGAACAATGTGATACAAAGAAGGTATCAGGGAACAAAAAAACCCAAGCAACATTATGAAAATGGAAGAAAAAGATAAAAAAGCCTATTACAGTCTAAACTCAGAAAATGAATTCTTGAGAAACTATTAAAATATGCTGTATGTATTGGCATCCTTAGAGAAAATTCTGATCATCTCTGTCCACTATTTTCTCATATAATCAGTGTTTTGCTTTTAAAAAGATAACATTTTATAGCTGCCCACCAAGAAACTTAATGTCTCTAGTCTTCCCTTTGAACACCTGTTTTCAAACGTTTCTCACTATCATTGAGCTCTGAAAGTCACCACCTTACTGAGCACATTTCAAGGGCCCAGAACCAAACCTGTGCATGCAACTGTTCTTACAGGCAAGGCAGGGCAGAAACCTCACCCCTGATGCGACTAATGTCTACTTCCATTGAAATACTATTGCTTTCCTGTTTGCATTTCTTTAACTGTTTTAGTATGCCTATTAGAATATCTGAAAACGTATGTAAAATCTTGGTTAAAAATATTGGGTACTGAAAAATGGAAAAGGGAAATACTGAAGCTGACCTTTTGAAAATACTCATGTACTACTTGGCCTGCTTTTCAGTGAGTTGCCGGAATGTCTCAGTATTTGCTTTACTGTGGTTATGACTTTCTTAAGTATGTACTTCTACCATTCACTGATTGGATTTTACTAAAAAATTGCTTTTAAATGTCTGTTCTTGCACTTTATAATTAATTATTTGGCAAAATCAAAGACTCCACATGAAAAAATAAGTTTTATTCTCTATTGTTTAAACAAGCTTGATGCATTCCCTGAAAGCATGTGTGCCCTTTAAAACACTGGGATGACAAAACATATTTCAGCTAATTGGAAAGAGGATGTAATTACAATTAAACTAATATTTCCTGTAATGTCATCCAAAAATTGAACTCTTTTAAATTGTCTTCTTTGTTTCCCTACTGATGAGGGCAACATAACAGATTCCTTTGCCTAATTTTGGCTGCTGGGCTCTATATCTGTAGCGCAGCAGTGTTATCTTTCAGGGACCTGCCTATGTAATACTTTCACTGCTGTTGGTGTCATGGCAAAGGAAGATCTGTGAAGTGATCATTCTTTTCTTTTGCTCTTCATAACACATCCCTAGGATAGATTTGCTCAAGAAATTACTAAGTATAGGGCAGTATCTGCTGTCAAAAGCTCTGAGGTGGAAAACATTCTTTTGCAGACAAGGATCATGCATTTCTACCACTGGAATGAAAATTTGCCCTAAGAAGGTCCTTATGGTTTTTCACTGCATGGACTGATGTCATGCTTATGTCTGCATGTTACTTTTTCGAGCAGACATACTCTCGCTTTGTCTGGCTCCTAAGTTGATCAGAAGCTTTGCAAATGGGGTTAGTGCTGTCCTGAGCTAATAAATCCTGACTTACAGGCCTCAAGTCAAGTGTAGTGTGAGAGCAGAGGCAAACCTCAGATTTGCCTGCCAAGCTTTTGTAGACATACCCTGAACCTGCTCTTTGCTGCTGCCCAGACTGGTACAGCAGCAGCTCAGTGGCAGGCACTGTAGCAGTATACTTACCATTGACAGGGCCATAGATGGTCATTTGTGTTATGCTGTTGGCTGGGCACATCGCCATCTGACTTGGCAAGGGAAATAAAAAAGTCCCAAGACAAGACACTCTGATTTGCTTTCAGCACATGTTGGGTAAACATAGAAGGGCTGGAGACAGCTAAGTTTCTTCTGTATTCAACACATCATTTACAATACTGAATTTCCCCTGTTGTTTTTTTTTTTAACAATAAAATAAAAAATATTGGGGGTGACAGAAAATAAGTATTATTTGTAAATCATTTTAGAGGTGTCAGACAGTAGCTATGCAAATAGTAAGACCAAAGATACAGAATGAGTTGAAAGTAGTAATCTTAGAGGACTTCCTCTTTTCAATCTGAGGTGATCTGAAGTATTTCTGCCATCAGCCAAGAAAGTCACATGATGATGGGAACTAAAATTGTGTTGCTTTAGCCCATTCAGTGAAAGGAGACTTTTATGTAACTTAACAAAAATTGAGGAATTAGTTTCAGTTCACGTCCTGTGGAGTGGGAAGTTGAACTGATAGTGATTTAGAGTCTCTATTGTCAACACTAAAAAATTAATTATAAAATTTACAAGTGAGCTGCAACACTTCAATGTTCTTGTTGCTGATTTAATTAAAAAGGAAAATACAATCTCCTTTTAAGTACTGAAATATGTATTGCTGGTGAGATGACCGATGTTGCTAGAATGGAACCATCTTTATGACAGAAAAGAAAAAACCCGACTATTAAATGTAAATAACTGATGTTTCGGTTTTCTGTCCTAACCAAGCTTGCTCACCATTTTCTTATCTAAACATTCTCCTTTGGCCCGAGATCATACGCAGAATTATTGTCAGAAAACGTTTTCTGGGAAATGTGGATGGTTGGAATATCAAAATTAATCTTAGACTGGAAAATATGATGATATTAGCATTTCTAATTTTGTTGCTACCAACAAAAGTATATTGTTGTGCCAGAAACGTACGTTCACATGCTATGCATGAAGTAGAGAGCTTCTAAAATTTCTGCTCAAAATACCTAAATCATACATAAACAATGACACACTTGTATATAATAAAGTATTTATATATTAAATATACAGAAAAGGTATATGTACATATGCTGAAACTTTGTGGACATCTGGAGTATTGAGATAGTTAGGATTTCCAGCTGGAAGATGACAATTTTTAAGCAAGTCAGTCTGATGTATTTTAAGATAATAGACCACACAGTTAATTTTGGTTTCAATGCCATTCAAACAACCGTATTGTGGACGAAAGAGAAGCCAGTGCATGGTCTGGTTTGCTTCACTGCTGAACATTTTGCTTTTTTTATTATTTAATTAACGGTTTTGACTGCTTTTGCATATTAGTTTTTTAGTCTTTATTTTTCTGCTAGTGAATGCCTGCATTTCTAAAAGAAATTCTCATTTCCATTTGCGCTGGTTGTACTGCAATTGGCAACTCCTCAGAACTGTGTTCAGTACCTACTTATATATGTCTCAGGACCTACAGTTAAGAATAAAGCCTGGAAGAACAAGTGTGACTAAAGACAGGGGGAAGCCGAGTTCCTTAGGTTAAAAAGGTTTCTTATTTGCTCATCTACAGATACATGGATGGGTCTAACACAGAAGTTGGTCCCTTCTCTCCAAGTACCTCATTAAAAGTGTGACAGTAATTGGGTCTGTCTGATTGGCCCACAGAGACTGCAGCAGAAGTCAAGGCAGAAGTTGTCCTAGGTAAATATCTGAGGCTTATCATTGAAACAGGGCCATTGAATGAAGTGCGCAAGAAATTGAAGGAAACCTTGTTGAAAGCTTCAACATTTTTACCATTACTTATATTATCTGGAAACAAAATATCCTAAGTGTTTTCAAATTGCCTTCTGTTTACCTTTTTTAAGAACTGAATGTTCTGTTAACTTCTAGAATGCATATACTTTTTTCCCCCTTTTTGAGCTCAAAACCATGCAGCCATGTTTTAGCTCAGAGGAAGTAGGGCTATTCAAGATATGCAAGCACTCTTAACTTTCCCTGCCTTCTGATTTTCCTAGACCATCGAGTGGAGCTTTTACCTCCTCCTCAACAAGCACTGCATGTCTGATCATCTTTTTGTCTTATTTTTCCTTCCTACAGGGACCCTATAAAATTACAGCAGCTGCAGAACCAAATTCGTCTGGAGCGAGAAAGTGGCCAGTGGTATCGTCACCAACAGCAACCTGATCATCACCAGCACCCTCCCTCTTCTCCTTCCTTTCCTCCTCCCCCCTCCTTCCAGGAGCTTGCGTCCAGCCAGTCTGTCACTTCTCCTGTGCCAATGAGTGTTCTTAACTCTCATACTTCACCAACCATGCAGTCCTCCAGCTCCTTCAACTATGCTCGACCTAAGCAGTTCATTGCTGCTCAGAACATCAGCCCTGCTTCAGGTTACGTGACTCCATCTTCAGGATCATCTACATCCAGCCTTCCTTCTCCTATGTCTCCAACTGCTTCTCAGAAACAGTTTGGGAGAGTGCCTGTTCCCCCCTTCTCTCAGCAATTTGCTCCAGAAGGAGAGTACACCTGGTCTCCTTCTTCCCCATCCCCTCCACCCCCTCCTCCACCTGTCTTTAGTCCAACTGCAACATATCCAGTGTGTGATTCCTTTCCACTTCCACCTCCCCCACCCCCTCCTCTTCCTTCCCTTTCTTCACCTTCCCACAGCCTGTCTCCAACTCCCAGATTTCCTAACTCCGGCCAGTCTCCAGCAGCATTTCTCAGCTCCATGCTGCCATCCCAGCCACCACCCATTTCTGTCAACGCATTAGGCCTCCCAAAAGGAGTGACACCTCCGTAAGTATCTGCTAATGAGCTCCTTGAGTTTGACTGTACTGGAGATTGTACTGAAGATTACTGCACTTGCTTCATTTTGTATGTTTCTAGGGTACTTTGCTGTTACCTGCTACCTGTTACCTGGCAGAGAATTGTTTGCCAATGTCTCTGTGCTAGAAATGGGATATAGTTTTCTAACCCTCACAGAAGTGAGATTCTGGGAAAGCCCTACAGTAGGACACAAAAGAGGAGAAGCTAAAGCTTTAAATTGGAGTTGTTGAAAATATGAAAGCAGTAGCAGAAGGCTCTTCAAGCCCAGGGTGGTGGAAGGAGATCCAAAAAAACCCTTCTCACGACCCAGTTCTTCTGTCACATAGCCAGTGATATTTGCAGTCTATGTTCCTATCACATTTGCAGGTAGAGAAATAGCAAGTAAAGAGAGCATTATTCAGAAGTCCTTATAGCTTTGTGATACTTAAAGTATAACGTATTTAAGTCTACGCCTGACAACAAAGTGGTTGTAATGATATATTGACTTTTGGCTAGAGCTTTTGTTCTGAGGAAGTTTAGGAAAGGGTTTAGGAGGGGATTTAGAAAAGCATTGCATAAAACCAAGCAGAATCCCTCCCCCTAACAACTCTACGTACTTGTTTTCCCCTTTTGTCTTCTCTAAAGACCAAAATAGTATTTTGGAGCATGTCAGCTCCCATCATAGATCAGTTTGTCTTTCCGCTGGCACTATGCTCTCATTCCATCCTTAGAGAACAAAGAGACATACTGAAGAACAAAAATGAGAATAGCTGTGTCCAAGGCTTATTTATAACTTTGTGCATAAGTTTGTCTAAACAGATCTACGGTGTCTAGGTGACTTGCTCAGCTACATACTGTTGCAGTGGGAACTTCTGTTATTTCAGTCCAAAATACGAAAAGGAAGAGAAGGCAGAAAGTGGACAGATATCAAAGTAATAAATCATACATACGCTTTAAAAAGCATTTCTTTATCTTGATTTCTGTCATACAGCTCCTTATGGAGTCTGGCCATAAACCAGACTTACGAGAAAAATGAATAAATGGTACACTCATAATAGTTGTCATTTTCTGTCTTACTATGTCCTTTGCACTGGCTGAGTTTCTCTGTTGGTACTGACTGCTGAAAGCTGCATGATTAAATTACTGCCAGCTTGACTGATAAGCACCGTCCTCAAAAGCCTGAATTCATCCCTATTTTTCCAGGAAAGGCTCTAGTACAGCTAATATAGTTCTGGATAGGAGCTGGATTCACTTTCAAGTTCCCTCCTGTGTGCTCTGAGGGTGGCAGCAGCAGCTCGATCCTCTGCTGTGTCCCTCTTTCCCTCCTACGTTCATGCGCATGTGTTCTCATTTGAGGCATTAGCTGTTTTATTTCTCATTCTCTTTGATCTTTGGACAGAGAGACAACTCTGTAAGGATGTTTTCCCCTTGCCCATGCCCCTCACTTCCCTACGCCAGTCTGGGTGTGCATGTGATGGCATGTCTATCTCCCCCGGGACAAGGCAGCAGCCTCAGGCTCTGAGCTGAGGTTGAGGTGGTTGGCTGTTTGGCCTGCATTCCCTCAGGAAATGTAGTCCAGATGGGAGCTGGATCATGTTAACTATACTGAATGGATGTGTGTATAATTTATGTATATATACATATGCGTGTGTATATACAATGAGCATTTGTCATCTGAATTGTAACATTAAAACATGGTAAAAGATGTACTGCATGATGCAAAAAAGAAATAATAATCTATTGTCATGTATCTTTGATGCCAATTTTTTCCTGGCCTCTCCTTTTTCATTTTCCTCTGTAAGTTACTAATGTCTGGTGTGTCTTGTGAGTAAATCATTCTGTTTCCCACCACTCTTATACCACTCCTGAGGAATTCTTCTCCTTATCTCCCTTCCCCCCACTGCTTTTTGTGTCTTCTGCTTTGTGCTGTAGCCTCAGGCCCTTTTTTCCCCCACCTTCACTTTTTCTTCTTTTCCCTCGTGTTTTGCTTCATCCTCACAAACCCTCTTTTCTTGAACACATTTAACTTTCTGAGATGTTGCAGGTTTTGAGCCATTCACAGTATTCCATAACCTCAGCCTATAGTCTGGCCATGTACTCCATGATCTCCAAGATGTGTTAATTTAAAAGGATGTTAATGTTTCCTGACAGTGTGCTGTACAGACTGGGTGCAAGGGACAAATTGGAGAATTCAAAGTTTTGCTTCAGCTCAGCATCTAAAATGCTAGTCATTGTCTCTTCTCAATCAGTCATGTAGTGGTGATATTGAGAATATGATAGTGGGTTGCTGAAAGTGAACTAGGCAGCATTTGAAATACTTTTCATGGAAAGGAGGTACATTTTTGTACTATAGAGACTCCAAATACAATGTTTGAAGTGGTAGGATTTCCTCTTTATGATTTATTATCATATTTTAACATCAGTGGAAGCAGACTTGGACCTTTCATTGCATTTAGATACTTCAGCACTTTCATATCAAGTGCCTGTAGCAGATAAAATGCTCTTCAAACAGTTTTCCTGTCTGCTTTCAATATTTTCATGGCTCCTTTCTCTTGCCTTTTTTGCGTGTGTTTTTCCGGGTTGGTAATTCACTGGTCATATTTTGGTTACATGGTCTTTTTTCCCGTGGTTGTTCACTCTTTTCTCTCCAAGGCTATAGGTACCGTACATTGATAGTCAAATATCTGAAAGAAAAAAAAACCCAAACATTTAGCCTTGTCAAAGTCTCTTGTAATTACCAAAAACCATTGTTTGGTAGAGCAAGAAATTCTTCAGACTATTTTTAGAAGTTAAGCATCTTGATATACTGTGGAATCTATTGATTTATTTTTTTTTCTTAATTTTTCATACACTTCAGTGATTTTTTTCATTACTAAATCTCAGCACCATTACAGATCTGCTCCTCAGAATTAGTACTTTGTAGGCATCATTCATATTTTCCTCAGATGTGGTAGGAGCAGAATAACGGTAAAGTAATAAACATGGCAGGTGGAGATGGTCAGAGGCAGCATCAGTGATGTTTTCTGTAAAATGGAAGGCACAGTGGTTGCATACAAACCAACAGTCTTCATTTCTCCTCATGGAGTCAGACCTTCCCCCCACCAGCTTTCTCCAGGCATTTCTTTTCCAGTGTATGTATTGTTGTTCTACTTAAAAGAGAAATTAATCCAAGGAGCGATTCTGCCTCTTTTTCTGTGAGGTCAAACAGAACGTTTCTAACTGTCTATTCCATCCCTGTTCTCTGTGACCGAGCAGTAAATACGATGCTAATGTTTCAGCTAACAGTTGATATTTTCCTTGGTTTTGGACCCTGAGAATCTGTGTCAGTGACAGCGTTATCTAAACCAGTTTGATCAAATAAACATTCTTTCCAGTTGATAGATTTGGGAACATGACACTGAGGGGGGTTGTTTGTTTTGCGCGTGGGGTTTTTTGTTGTTTTTTTAACAACGTAGTCTTACAGCCTTGCCTGTATCATGGGAATAGCTACTTGTGAATTTACTATGTTTTATTTGGACGTCTGAAACGTGGAAAGCAGCTCTGTGTCATTAGTACCTACTAATTCACCTTTAAATATTTTAAATATTTAGTTGCAACAATTGTATGGTAACTGCTTCAGTTGAATAAAATACATCTCATCTCTCCAGTAAGCTCTAGGCACTTTGTAGTGACCAGCATTTTCAAGCTGTGACTGTGGTGGAACTAGCTGAGCAAGCTTTGGGAATAACCTTTTTCTCTATTAATGGGGCAGATGTGTTAAATTAATCTCTGGCCAGAGCATAGTGATATTAAACAAAAGAGAAGGAACTAAGTACCTAGTTAGGTACTTAAGGGAATTATGAGCACTTGTCAGTTATTTTTGAGGTAAAACTTCACTGGAGTAAGATTGTTGGTGCTGTTCTTAAAAATCTCAGTTCTTCCTTTACCTAAAGAAAACTCAAGGGTGGATGGATGTGTTCGATTCAGGTTAACCTTCAGTTTTTGTCCACAATTAAGTCTGTAGGAGCTAGAATCTGGTCTTCACTTTTCGTAGAAAAAACCAAATTGTATCTGTATGAAAAAAAGTAGGTATACTTACAAATTCTAGGCCAGCACATACACTGGAAGGTTTACAAGAGCATTTGTGAAAGCAAAATTCATCCTATGAGAAGGATCTGGTCACTATTTAGTGAATATTAAAATAAAAAGAATATAAATCCTGCCACTGAAAGGTGTGGAGTCGCTCAGCCTGAAGAAATAGGATCTCTTTCCAAGTATAAAAACCATGTATTGTCAGGTATACATATACCTTTTTGAAAGTACTTAAAAAAAAATACAGTCTTTTCATAAAGTAGACACTTTTCCTGAAAGTAGACTTTTTCTTAAAGTAGGTACCTTCAGTAATATTACCTTAGTCACAAACAGAAAAAGTCTGACTCTACAGAACTGGTGAAAGAACATGTCTCTAGATTTACAACTTTCTGGAAAATAATGGAAAATGAAAAACACTGTTTTGAAGAGAAGATTATCTGAAGTATCTTGTCAAATGTAATTAAGTAGCTGCTTTTATCATCCTACATATTTTGATCTCTAGAACCTTAAATCCAAATCTTAGAGGAGATTCTGTGGGAGTCATGAGAATAGCAGCATCAGAGAGAGATCTCACTTTTTTCCCCTTTGAATCAGGGCTGCTGGTCTGTACTGTGATTTGTCCACTGAATCCTATCTCAAATAGCACTGCAGCAAATATTTTAGTAACCCTCATGTTCCTTGAGTCAGTTAGCAGTGATGGTGACCACTCTAAGGAAAAGCCGCGCTTCCCCATCTTTTTATCTTACAGCTTTCAACAGTCTCCCTGTACAAATGTCAGCTTTCATTTTAGAGTAAACTGTATTTCTGTCCTATGTAGACCAGACATTTACTTTTCCCCTTTCTGTGAGTTATGCCTGTCACAACTGTAACAAATGGAGGTAACTTACAGTATGATTGATGTGAAAATAGTTATACATAGG